ACTCTACATCATCGATCACTTTCCTCTTTGGCCCCATAATCTCCTTGATCAGAAAATTTGGGACACTACAGAGTTACATGACGTTACAGTGCAAGTTCTCATATGTCCTGAGTCTTAATTGACCTTGGAAGACTAGGGCCAAAATGTTGGCTTCCCTTGCAGCCCTCCTTTTTCTCTAATTTTGGTCTGCAAACTTAGATTGTTAACCCTCCAGTGGACATCTTCTTAGAACTACCTCAACTCAGAGTGGGAGGTCTAATCTTAGTCCTGGCTGGGTGAACTTAGCCAGGCCCTGGTGATTTGGGAACCTCAGTTGTTCCACTGGAGCAATGGGCTAATGATTCTTCCACCACCCAGAATTGTGAGAAAGCAGGAAAGCATTCTGTAAGAGAAGGTGTCTAGCCCAGGAGAGAGAAAGGGCTGGCCAGGTCCTGTGCCTCTCAGGTACTCAGGGTCCCTCCCTGGCTCCTCTGAGCAAGTGTCTTTTCTGTGACTGTCTGGGGGTACCCACCATGGTTTACTGAGCCACCCTCACCCCAAGTTCTTTCATGGGCTCTGAGAATAGTGGGGACCTTCTTCCCCATTTCATGGGACAATGGTGGCTCAGAGAGATGTTTTAGGGTCACATGGCTGGTGTCAGAACCCAAGTGCCCAGACTCCACATCCAGGACTTTCCAGCAGCCCAGCTTTCAAGGCTGGCTCCTGTCCTGAGGGCAGCTGTGCTGAGGATGTGCAGGGAGCCTAGGCTTGCCTCCATGTGTGCCCAGAGAGGGCAGAAGCTGGGCAGAGGTCAGCCAGGCAGCCTTAAGAATGTCTTTCCTTTGACCCCATGCAGGAACCTGGTTCCCCTGAGAGGTGTGACGTGCAGACCAGTAAGTGACACATTAGTGGGTCCCTGTGTCCAGCTCTGGGAGGTTGCTTTGTGTCTTTGGGTCTAAGTGGGGGGCACACCTGGGGTCTCCTGACCTAGATCTGAAGGGGCCCCTACCCTGTGGGTCTCACCTGTGGTCAGCCTACGCTGGTAGTCAGAGCCCAGTCCGGAGCCAGAATGGCCCAGATTGGTGTCCAGCACCTATCCAGTGAAAGCAGCTCCCAGGTGGGCACCCCCTTTCTGCAGGCACCACCAGAGAGAGCAGCCCTAGCCCCTGGCTTCTGGGTGAGTCAGTTTGGCTAAGCATTGTCCTGGTCAGGGGAGAGGAGAAGGGCAAAGCGTCCCTGGGGGAATCAGGTCCTGGAGATGCTGGCGCTTTTGACCTGAGAGGTGTCCCCTCACTGTGAGTGGGTTAGGGAGGTAATGATGCCTTTTTTGCCACCCCTGGCACAGGTTGGAGGACAAAGGCCAGGAAGGGAGGGCAAGGGGCAGAATCCATTCTTCCTTTACTTCACAGCTCTGGAAAGGCATGTGATAGACAGATACTCATTTGTTCAGCAAACATAACAGGCAGCCCACAGTGTGCCAGTCTGTGATGGGTTCTAGCAGTGAGCAACGCAGCATACTGTCCTGTACTCAGGCCCTCCACCCTGGGTCAGGGAGTCCCAGGTGGCATAGTACACAGGCTCAAGAGAACAGAAGTCTCTCCCAGGACTGGGGAGCCAAAAGTGCAGAATCCAGGCATTTCCAGGGTTGGTTCCTCCTGATGCTCCAAGGGAGGGTTTGTCCCCTGTCCCCTCCTGCTTCCCATCCTGGCTGACCGTCCTCAGAGTGCCTTGGCTCTAGCCACCCTCTGGTCAGGTTCTCCATGAGGCCTTTCCTCTATAAGCTGCCTGTTACTGGATTTAGGATCCTCCCTAAATCCAGGATGATCTCATCTTGAAATCTTTAACTTAATTACATCTGCAAAGATGCTATTTCCAAATTAGGTCACATTCACAGGTAACAGGGTTAGGATCTGGGTGCATCTTTGGGGAGGATACTACGAGCCACTATCTGGGGTGACTTGAATGGTTGGGGGACGAGTGTGCCTTTTCTTCTCCCCACTCTGTCCTGGCCTACCCTAGCTGCCAACCAACCATCCCTCCGCCTGTCCCCCCAGCCACCCACCCTGTCTTCTCCTTTGTTTCAGGGGTGGTGGCAACTGGAGGCCTCTGAAACAGGGGAGAAAGGGATCTGGGCGAGCACAGATGGACAGACGGATGGATGGATGGAAGGAAGGAGAAAAGGACACCTTGAAGAGAAGACTGTCACAGGGGAGGGGTAGAGGTGGCCACTGACTCCCGCCCTGTCTGAGCAGTGAGCCTCTGGTTCCATCCCACCCGCAACTCTGTCCCAGAGGCACCTCTCAGGCTGCCTGGCCAGGAGGCAGCAACCAGCCCACAGTGAGGGGGCGCGGGGCATGAGCAGCAGGGAGACTAGGCGCGCAGCCCATGAACGGCCCCACGCAGGCCTCGCGCTGCACACCTCCCTTGAGCACTCTAAGCCCTTTGGGGACCTCGTTTCTTCCCGAAGTGGTCCTGCTAGGGTCTGGCCATATTCTCTTCCTCACAGGACTGGGCACAACCTGTGACAGTGGCAAACAGTTTAACTGACATTAAAGATCTTGAATTAGCACTTCACATCTGTGACTGCATGGTGTTCTTGCTTGGAACAAATGCTGAAACAAATGTGTAGGGTTTATTTATTTATTTATTGGTGAAACCAGGGATTGAACTCAGGCCCTTGCGCTTGCCCAGGCAAGCACTTATTCTACTGAGCTATTTCCCCAGCCCTCATAATGTGTAGGTTTTAAAGGGGTGGACTGCATGGGATGAATGGTAGTGGGGTTGCGGGAAGGAACTAACCAGGGTCCCTGAAATGCCAGCTGGCTCTGATGTGAGGAGTCATTTTAAAATTACAATTAGTTGTCAAAATTTCAAGGCAGGCTTTGTGTAGAAGAAGTCTGACCTGCTCAGAAAGAGGGAAAGGCTGGCTGCAAGGGACCAGCACTGAGCTCCAAAGGACAGACTGAAACAGTGGCCCTGCCCCTTCATTTGTGCCTGTTATCTGAGTTTGGGTTTAAGCCCTTGAAGTCTCTATCTGGCACTGAAGGGAGCACAGTTGCAGTGGAGGAAATAAAGTGAAAATGCCTGGAGGTAGGAGTGCTGGGGAGAGTGCTGAGCCGTGCAGCTAATCTGAGCCCCAAATCCTTGATACTGAAGGTGAAGCTAGCTAGAATCCTTGGGGCCTGACTTGAGAAGGCTGCAGGCAGTGGGCAGCCACTGCTGGCAGGTACCTGGAGAGGGAGTGGCTTCACAAACATTGCCCTGGGGCCAGCAAGCATGGGGGCAGGGAGAGCAAAGAAAGCAACTGGGAGCTACTGTGAAGAATGTTGTACCCTAGACTTCATGGTTAGAGAGGGACTTGGCTGGGGCCTGACTTCTAGAAATGTCCAGTGGATGAGAGGCCAGTGCCTCAGGGCCAGGTCTCCAACTAGGGAGAGGAGGCATGAGTGGGTGTTAGGACCCAGACCAGCCAGAGAGGATGGCTTGAAGCCAGTGCTCTGGCTTTGTCAGTGACCCGGGTCTAGGAGTGGGGTGGGGGGTGACCTAGAGCCCATGTACCCCGACTCCCACCTGCTACCTGGGAGGCCAGGATATTCTTCATAGGGTCTGGACTTCAGGGGAGGACAGTGACTTCCTCCTAGTCCTGCAGGGCCCTGGCCTGGGCTATGTGACAGAATGCCTTTTCCTCATGGCTGAGGACCTCGGGCATCATCCTCTTTTCAAAGATGGCTGTAAATTGGAGGCAGTCTAGGGTGGCCCCACAGGTCTGCTGCAGAGATGAAAGCTCCCATCCATATTTAAAAAGAAAGAGTTAAATGACAAAGCAAGGACAACATTGCCCTTGAGGCTGGCACCCAGTACTGAGTGGCTTTCAGTGACATTGGGACACACATGAGTTTATTTATCGCCTGGCCTAGTGCTCTTAGAGTTGAGAGCAAGGACAGCCTGGGCTCTACCTCCAGCTTCCTGTGTGACCAGGCTGGCTCTTCGGTCTCTAAAATGCAGAGAGTACTGTTCTCTCCTCCTGGGGCTGTAAGGGGTAATGAGTCCTCCATCTGGGAAAATTTCTGTCCCCTGGTTGTCCCCTGCTGTGCCAGGCAGCTTCTTACAAGAGCTCTCAGAGTGCAGAGGCTGTAGCACTAGGGACAGCAGGGTAGAACCACTTGTGCAACATGCCCCTCCTCTGAATTTGGGGTTGGAACTTCCCTCAAACCTGCCAAGGATGCCAGGCCCTGAGACGTTTGTAGGGCTGGAAGAGCCAGGACCCCTCATGGAATGACGTCCTTCACGGTGTGCAGGGAGTGTCCCTGGGAAGCAGGAATAATATCTGCACTTGGAAGCTGGGAATCCCAAGCCTGGCCCATGGGAAGCACCCCATAAAGTAAAGAGATCATCTATTTCTTAGCTTGCTCACTTGTAAAGCAGGGATAAGACATTAAAGCATAGAAATAAAGTGGAAATAATAATTATTGCTAGGAGGACTGACAGAGTTGTTCCTAAGCAGGTGGCTGTACCTTCACCACAGATGTGTTGTCAGGCCCAAGGGCCTTTCCACCTCTTTCCTTATCCAACACACTAGTGATGTCAATTCTTGTCGCTCAGCACAGGCCTGGCTTGGGAGCGTAGCTGTACTTCTGGTCACCGTCTTTGTTGTTGGCTACACCACGAGCAGTAGCTTTCAGAGTCTTAGCCTGGAGGCCAGCTTCCATCTGGTCACTGTCACTAACTAATGCTCAACTTGAAGGCCGCTAAGATCCCTGGAACTCTTGGGGGATACTTGGCATCCAGGAAGTCTGCCCCTTGCTTGGGTGGGCTTGGGTTCGTGAGACTTTCCTGTTTCCATTTCTGCCAAGCTTACAATCCTGGAGTGTCTCAGTGTTGGGTCAGGGTGCATGGAGAAATGTTGAAAGTCAAACTTGCTTCTGAAGGTGGGACTCCCCCGCCTGTCCACCCGTGAGAAACTCGGGGCTGCTAGGGCCAGGTACTTGGGGGTTTTTTGTTTGGTTGTTTTTTGTTTTTTTTGAAGGGTTTAAGGGTGTTCAGTGTCTCACTACCAGATTGGACTTGTACTGATCTGCCTGTTTACAGCCTCCCAAGAGCTAGGATTACAGGTGCATGCCACCATGCTGTCTCAATTGCCATCTCAGCATGCCCCAGGGGTGGGGCTGGCACGGTAGGCCTGGGGATTGAACCCCTGGCCCCTGTGCCTGCTTGCAGGTGCTTTAATCCACTGAGCTATTTGGCCAGTGGCCAGGCATCTGGGAAGGACTATCTGGAGCAATTCTGAGTTCATGCGCATGTTGTCACAAAGGCCATCCTATACCTGCATATGGCAATGTGGCCCCATGCTGCGCCCTTTGGCACCACCTGCAATGCTGTAGTTTGGGGTACTTTCTTCTCCAGTACAAACTTCCAAGAAGGAGGCCTCAATGAGAAACAAATTTGATCCACCATAACCAAAGCTCTAGCTCAAGAGAAAAAGGGACACAATCATGGAAGGAGACAGGTGAAGGGATATACGCTTTGCCCATCCCTGAGCCTTGGCCCTGTGGTCAGTGGTTGCACTGGTCAGGGTGCCCTCCTTGCCCACTGCTTGGTAAGTAGCTGATCTGCTGTTGGCCAGGGCCAAGGTTCCATCTGGGGTCCTTGAGGTACAGGAGTCCAAGCCCACTGTCCTCGTACCCCATACAGGCCCCCTCTGTGTCCCTGCAGTCAGAATCCTCCCCACGGAGCTGGTGGAGCCTGACCTTGTACTCGAAGAGGTTGACCCTCACTGGGAAGATACCGAGCAGGACAGCAGCGCCAGTCCACAGGAGACAGAGGCAGCTCTGGCCTATGAGGACGAGGATGAGGCCGTGGTGGAGATGCACAGGTGAGGAGCCAGAGAAGTCCTGGGAAAGTAGCAGCACAGAATCCCAGAGGTACAACATGGCGTGGAGACCAGATGTGGTGGTGCACACCTATAACCCCAGCACTCTGTGAGGTTGAGGAAGGAGGATGGCAAGTTCAAGCCCAGACTAGAAAATTTAGCAGCTTAGTGAGACCTTATTTCCAAATAAAAAATAAAAAGGGGCTGAGAATATAACTGAGTGCATAGGCCTTGGGTTCAATCCCCAGTACTAGAAAAAAAAAAAAAAAAAAGGCATAGAGAGGCCCCAAGCCTGCCTCCCCTAGTTCTCCCCATGGGTACAAAGGCTACCAGATTTTTCTGCCTCATTCTAGAGACAATGTGGGTGTCTACAAGCATGCATCCCCTCTTCTTTTATGCATAAAAGGTAGCATATCATATGCATATATCTGCACCTTGCTATATTTGTTCAATTAATATACCTTGAGGTCTTTCCACATGCTGTACACCATTGTTTTGACAACTGTATACCATTCTATCATAGGAACATACTATATCTATTTCATCTGCCCTCACTGATGGCCATTTAGGTTGTACACTAGCTTTGTTACTGTGACAAAATGCCCGAGGTGATGAACTTATATAGAAGGAAGGTTTCTTTTTGGCTTATGTGTGGTAGTTTGGCCCCACGCTTTTGGGCCATTGGTGAGGTAGTTCAGCAGAAGTGTGCAGCAGAGCAAAAGCATCTGATTCACATCAGGAAAGGGAAAGAGAAGAAAGAATATGGGGCTTGGGTCCTGCTACCAGCTTTTAGGGCACACGTGCAGTCCCTGAGGGTCCACCCATTAAGGGTCTGTGCTTTCCAGTTACATCAGTTTGGGGAGCGAGCTGTTAACACCTGGCTTTCGGGGGCTGTTTCTGATATAACTGTAGGAAGCTGATTCCCACATTTGGTTTCTGTGAACAGTTCTGCAGAGCTCTCCTGTGTGTGTGTGTGTGTGTGTGTGTGTGTGTGTGTGTGTGTACATGTGTGCACCTCCCCAGGGTGGATCTCCAGGGAATGTGGGGTCATCAGACGCAGGAATGATCACTGTGCCTGCCTAACCACTCTCCTAGAAACACCACAAGATGGGGTGAGGATACTGAGGCTGAGAGGGGCTCCAGGTCTGACCGGTGGTCACCACAGGAGGTTGGGGCCAGGAGAGGCCTCTCACAGAGTGAAATGGACTGGTCGCTAGAGACAGCCTGGGGTGCTGGCGGACTGCAAATGTGGGGTCCCTAGGCCAAGCTTTGACTGAGGAGCCCAGGTCTGGTCCAGGGAGTTGTGAGATGCGCTACAGAAATGGGGGGCAAGAGGTAGACTCGGGGTGACTGCAGTGGACTAACTCCTATCTCCAACCCCAATCCAGGGAGCTGCCCCTGATTCAAGAGGAAAAAGAAGAGGAGGAGGACGGCAAGGAGGAGGAGAAGGAGAAGGAGGAGGAGGAGGAGAAGGAGAAGGAGGAGGAGGAGGAGAAGGAGGAGAAGGAGAAGGAGGAGGAGGAGAAGGAGAAGGAGAAGGAGGAGGAGAAGGAGAAGGAGAAGGAGGAGGAGAAGGAGAAGGAGGAGGAAGAAGAGGATGAGGAGGCACAGGAGCCTGAGTGAGTCCCTCTCTTGGCTAAGGGTTCTCCCAGGGAGGTGGGGC